AGAGACGAGAGAGAGAGAGAGAGAGAGAGAGAGAGAGAGAGAGAGAGAGAGAGAGAGAGAGAGGGAGAGAGAGAGGAGGAGAGAGAGAGAGAGAGTGCAGTGTCAGTATGAATACAGCAAGGTATGCGCACTGTTGCACAATCGCAATTTCCGCTTCTCCTCACCATTCCCTGAGCCACGCTCCGACGCGTAATTCTTTGTCACGCTTTCGAAACGTTAACGAGATGGCTCAGAGCTTCACTAGATCGAGCGACAAAATTACTTCAATCTCCTGCTTCCCACGGCTCAACCCAACGAGAAGAAAGCACTACTTTTTACAACTCATTAGTTAGCTACCCTATTTTGTCTACATATGGCATGCCCACCTCAGCCAACCACACTTGATATGCTAAGCCCAGCTACCACGATCGAAAGATCTTTCGACGGCAGGGTACACATCACCCCTCACCTGTTAGCCGACTGATGAGGCAACCTTTTCGCAGAATTGTTGTTCTTGCTTGCCTTCCCCGTTGTTGTTCTTGTTGCTGCGTCGCCCAGTGCTGTCCTCTCTCCTGTATTCAACACTACGCCACTCAGCCGACCGGCTTTCCCTGCCTGCTGCTGGACACAAAACATGTGAACGTCACTCAGAATCGCCACCTCGCTCCGTAACGCAGGCGTTTCTTTTACCTCTGCGCCTCATCGTCGCGCGCACCTACGTTGCGAGAAATCGCCCGATCTTCTATTACTACGACTTTAGCGATTACTCGACGCGACGCCAAACTCCGCGCGGTACGTACATTGGCGTCCGTCGACGGCTCGTGTTCGTTACACGTGGCTCCCCCTCGTGGCGACGGAGACGTCTGCGGGCTGGCGAACGAGGCACTGGATGAGACAACGCTCGGCGCGCGTGCGGACGCGAGCACGGGCGCGGGGCCGTGCGACCCAGCTAAAAACAGAAACAGAAACCGACTGTACGTGTCGTAACGATTCGTGATGCAGAAAGATTAGTTTTGGGTCCCGTGGATGTTGGCGCTATACGCGGCCACACGAAACATAAAAACAGGCCTTGCTTGTTTGAGTCGAAACCGTGTGAGCACCACGTCTGTGTGAATGGACGCCGCGTTCTCGTTTTGCGAGATCAATGCGAATAAAGACTTTATATGATATATCTTAACACAGAGTTACGTCGCTTATTCCCGTTACATGCAGATATACCGACAGACGTTGAAAACCGGCAGTGATGACTATGTCGACTATAGAAAAAGACCGCTGAACAGCGAGAGGTTTCGTCCATACTATGGCAGCAAAATCCATCGCGTTATCACCACTTTGATGCTCATAGACCCTTATGCGCCAGTCACACATACACGACGCACGGCCCGCGCACTGAAAAATTAGCAATGTTGGCCAGTGCGTTGTGTTTCGCTGGGTGTGCGTCAGCATTCGTTACTCGTTCGTCGAGCGCGCTGGACCAATGCTATGCATCCGTTGTCATTCGCTGTGTGCGTCGGGATTTTTGTGCATGCATGTGCGCGGAGCTCCCGCATGAATGTACATGCCAGAAGGACGCCAGACACGCGCAGAGCGCGCTGGACCAACGCCAGACACACGCTGGGTATTCGTTGTATGTTCGTCGGGTGAGGTGTAGCGAACACCTAGCGCACACCTAGCGTGCTTCTAACGCATGTCCAGCAAACATGCAGCGAATATGGGCGTGCTGAACGAGTGCTGAACGAGTCTGTAGCGCGCCCAACGTTCTTCTAGCGTGTTCCTAGCGTGTACGCAGCGTGTAGCCATGGGGTATATAAACGGGTCCCGCCCCAACCTCCTCATCATCACTTTTCCTCCAACCCTCATGGGTGATGACAGAGGTTCCTGCTGATCGTGTCTAGAAGAACCACCTCAGAAGATGGAGGATCCCGACAGGCTGTGACTACAATACGAAATCACGGTTCTCCAACATCAGCAGAATCTCATGGAACTGGCACTTCACCAAGTCCATGTCATCAGGAGAAGGAGAAAGAGAAGAGGTCAACAGAGGTTCTGGGTCCAACCGTGGATCTGTAGGCGATGACAGTTTGGCCTGTATGACCAGCTACTTGTTGAACTCCGTAACAAATACCAGGCAGCCTTCAAGAACTTCATGCGGATGCCCCCCGAGATGTTCAATGAGCTGCTAACCAGAGTGGGTCCGAGGATCACCAAGCAGAATACAACCTACAGAGAGGCCCCCTGAGCCAGGAGGGTCGTAGAAAATGCCTTCGGCATCCTGGCCAACCATTTCCAAGTTCTCCTGAGCACGATGCAACAGCAGCCCGAGACCGTCAAGCTAATTGTCACAGCATGCAAGACCGTTGCCGTTCGCTGGCTGTGCGTTGAATGCGCGGTGCATGCGCGGACCAATCGTTCCGTGCGCTAGCAACGCGCTGTGCATTCGTTGGATTTTTTAACATGTGCGCCCTGTATACGCCCTGTATACGTGCAGCGCGCTAGCAACATGCTGTGCATTCGTTGTCAACTCGCTAGCTTCTCTCATATCCTGACCAAAGTTGGGCGCACAACGACGCACTGATCTTATTTTCCATTTTTTCAATGCGCGGGCCGTGCGTCGTGTATGTGTGACTGGACCATTACATCTGGTGTATGCAGACTTACCCACAGCAAGGGTTTTGAGGTTCGTAACAGCGGCAGCCTCTGCCTGAGCTGACTGACTAGATGGAGCCACTTTCAGGTCCTCAATCAGTTCTAAAACAAAACACAACCAACCAAGTCACGTTTCTAATCAAATAGATTGATATGGAATAAAAAATTCTATTAATAGCAATTATAAAAGTTGTTGAAAACATTGTTAACAAAATTTTGTGAACTTTTTTTATACTAGTTTAAAATAATGTATAATAAAAAAGGCATTACAGTATATTAAATATATTATGAAAAATTAAAATTTACGTAAAATATGAAATAAAAATCCATTAAATCAATAATTCAAATGAGATCATCCGGAAAAACAATATATATCTAAAATAATAATAAACAATACATCATCCCAGTCATGCGTTCCGCGTTTCTGTTCTCGCTCACCCGCATTATGCGTCACGATGAGAGCCTTCGCTACGTCGACCCGCAAATCCTCGTTGCTTATGATAAACATGTCGACCGCCAGCGCGTCGTAGGTGGCGCTGCCGTGCAGGGCGGCAAGCAGCCTGTGGCCGCGCACGACGCGGTCAAAGAAGGCGCGCTGAGCATCCGTCCACAAGAGGGCGTTGGCGGGAGGGCACACCTGAAGAAGCGACAGCAAATGCTCGTATCAGATACGCAGCCCACTGCAAAACCACTGGAAGAGTCGTGGAATCGAAATTTTCTCCCATCGATTTGGAAAGGGGGGGGGCATTAATTACCGAACGATCGTAAAGTTTTTCTCGGCCGAATGACCTCGCAAACACCAACAATTGGATAACATACTTTCTCACTTATTACTATACTTATCATTTACTCTTATGATTTATTACTTTTGGTTGTTATTATTACTTATTACTTCTTCGGACACGACTTTGGCGAGACCAGCCATCAGGAAAGCAAGCGTTACTTAACGCACATTAGGGACACGTCCGGGGCCACACGACCCTGCCAGCACCCAGCCTACTGACCTTGGCGAGAGAGCAGCAGAGGGCCTGCTGAGGAAGCTGCGCAAACTGCTTCTCCAGGGGTCTCAGGCGAGACAGAGGCAGCCGCTCCTCGTTGCCGTAGTCGATGTAGACGACGTCCACCTCGTATTCCTGAAAGCTGCCGGCGTCTGCGCGCGTAAAACAATCGCTGTCGTCATCGTCAAGTCCGCTTCGCAACGGAAACGCCACGAGCGCTCGCGCCGCTCCGACGATTAAAACGATACTATGCGATATCTATTAAGGTAAATACGAATTACATGTACTACCAGATTTGAGAGTTCGTGTACTATATAGCGCCGATCCTAAATCAGAAATTTTACTTGGGACGCCGTTTGCATGTTCCTCCACAATGGGCAATGTCATTGTCGCCTGGGGGGGGGGGGCAAAATTACTGTCTCCGCCACCTCTTCCATTGTCACTGTCATCAGGGAGATTGTCACCGTATACGTCATCCCCAATGTCGTTGTCATCGGGGGGACGGTTCCCATTTCCGTCGCTGTGGCCCGTTGGGGGAAAGGTCTCTGTCTCAGTCTGGTTGAGCCGACTGTGGTTGGGGCGGGGGGGAAGTCTCTGTCTCCGTCGTTATCATCGGCGGCGTCTCTGTCTCCCGTCTGGTCGAGCGCGCTCACCTGCTCCGGCCGTCGGCACGCGGGGCGGCGGCGCGCGGGGATACACGGCGACGACGCGTGCCCTGTACCAGGTGTCGTCCTGCGTGAAGCGCGCGCAGCAGACGAGGCCGACCTGTGGCACCCCCGTCACGCCACCGCGCGCTCCCACCCTCGAGTAGTGCAGGCTGCGGAGAGAAAGAGAGAGAGAGAGACGTGAGCGACGGTGTTCATGAGTAGCCATTGCACTGACGTGGGCCCCAGAGGAGAAGAGAAAAAGGGGAAGACCAAGGGAAACATGGCGAAGGTCAGTGGAGAAAGAAAGGATTACAATAGGGTTTAAAACATGGAACGAGGCCGAAAGAGCTGCCAAAGATAGAACGTCATGGAGAAATTTGATTTCCAGCCCTATTCTCCACGAGGAGAGAAGGAACTAAGAAGTTCATGCGTGGCGGCAGTAAGGCACGAAGGGTCGTTGTCGCATCAGGTACTACATATATGTACCCGAGGTAGTTTTAGGTTGTTTAGTATTATGTTTATATTTTTATATGAAGTATGTTTAGGGTTAGGGTTAGGGTTAGGGTTAGGGTACGCTTCTGTAGTACAAGTCTGGTACACTTTGTGTATACATATATGTACCTCGGGTACATATATGTAGTACCTGATATGACAACGACCCCCTTCAGCGGCAGTAAGCAGCATTGCCTACTTGCCATCATTATCAGTCGACGTCCTTACCACGTGCACGTCTATCTCAGAGTATTAAATTACGCCTGGTGCGTAAACGAGTCATCGCTGATCTGACGTTTTGCCGTTGTCACCTTGCGTGACCTACTACGGCGTCATGTCCAATCGGGGGACCAAGACGATAAAGAAGAAAGAAGCTCGCGTGACCAGCGACGTAATTACGTAAAAGCGTCTCTCACGTCGAGACGTACAATAAGATAGTTTCGATCAAATATGGTGTCCGTTGTGAAAGACTTATACCTCAATTGAGAAGATGAGATAAATATCTGCTTTTACAATTGTGAATTTTAACCTTCACTTGGATCGTGAGTGGGTTCGACATTCGGACCCATTTCTGGCCTAGATAAACCCCTGCCCGCGCTGATATTAGACCATACTTTACATCGCTAACGAAGACGTTGAAACACACTGCGGTGACCAACGTATTAGCCAGCGAGCCGTGCAGCCGTGATTTGCACGATCAGTTTTAAAACCTGCACGGCCAAAAATGTGTAGCACGGCCTAAAATATTGATCTAAAGCCATGTACATTTGTAAAATTGCACTCCCAAATATTTTTTCTGCACACCCACAATACTCATTCCTGGCTAATACCCTGGCGGCGGCGCGCTCGCCTCTCACCACAACTGCTCCATGAGCGCCGACAAATCGTTGGTAAACATCTGCACCCAGAAGAGCGATGGGCTGACGCAGTGCGTGATCTTGACCACTAGTCTGTCGCCCGCCTGCACAGGGATCCGCGTCACGTGTGGTCCGAAGCCGTAGCTGGACAGACTACACTGAAAGCAAGATGGAGACGAGTAGTAGTCGGAGCGCACCGAATAGTGGACGTAACTACGAGCTTTTAATATAGTACGCCACTGTTATTACTCCACCATGCCAGGCCAGCATTACTGAAACAACGCTAGCAATGTCAATGCACTACAATAGGTCATTCATATGTACCAAAACAACGTTAATGCTGTCAACCCACTATGTTAGGCCACCCGTACAAAGCAAAAACACGCTAGCTGTGGCAATCAACTACGTTAGGTCACCCGCACGTGGAGAAACCACGCTAATGCGGTCAATCCACGACGTTACATCAACGATGCGAGCTTACGTGAGAGGCGATCGAGACTGCGCTCGACGACGACTCGGCGCGCTTGCGTACGCACGGCACGCTCGCCGCGTCCGCCGGCGTCTGTGCGGACGCACTCTCGCACGGTGGCGGCGGCAACTCCAACGAAGCGATCTCCGACGCGGCAGCAGTAGAGGCGGCGCCCGGCTTCGCAGCACCCGGCTTCGCGACGCCCGCGGCGCTGTCGGGGAACGCCGACGAATCCCCGACTGTTCCACGACACGTGGATGACACTAGCGGAGCCTGATCCAGAGACACGTGCAGCAAGCCCTCGCTTTCCCCACGTGCCGGCGGCTCACCCGCGGATGCTTTAACGTAGGTTGCCGCCACCCTAGGGTGTGTTTCGGAAACGACATTCGTGTTACAATGGGCGACCTCCACCGACGAAGGGACTGTCGATGTGGCCGCCATCTTGGATGGTCCAGACACAGTGTTTGGATCTTCATCGCTCGTCTCTGAAACGAACATTATTCACAAACTGCGCACGTGTTTTGTATTGATATCTGTTGAATATCGTACATGCTGCCGCAGGTTTGGTGGGACGATTCACTTCTAACACCATAGAATGACGATCAGATGATTGCGACCTCTCGTTAGTTTCCTTTCTCAGTTATTCAAACATTTACAAAATCATGTCCATATTCCTTGCATAAATCTTGGAACCAGTTAATCAGATTTCAGGATAACACTAACAGCAACTTGATTTCATGATAAAACTACGGAAATAACCTATTAGCAGCAGAAGAACCTACTGAAAAATTGACGCTTCCTTCAACCGCACACTGTATACTCACTGTCATTCTCCACACTTACCATCTTCACTCTCTCCCTCTCCAGGTAGCGATGTTCGGATTAAAAACAACTTGTTTAGGCAGTCCTCCAACTGCCGGTTGACCTCCGTAAACTGTCGCGAGAAACGAGTCATGCTCGTCTCTTCGAGAATGGGGGCTGCTATGTCGGATGCCTGCACAATGTATAGATGTGACATATGCAGTCCGTATACCAATAGACGAGAGTGAACTAGATCCGATGCGAAACCATGAGGAATTGTACTGCACGACAGAAAATAAACTCCATCCGTTGTAAAGCAGTCGAATCTAACATCACAGAGTGGGTACTACGAAATGTGTACTACACAAAAAGCCCTAAATTATCTTCAATTTTATACACAGTGAGCACAAACTATTTAGATATGACGTATGCTATACTGTAATGTAAAACTAACATAAAATATTGGTATGGCTATAATTTAATTAGAATACGTATATACCTTTTGTGTCAGTTCTTCCAAATAGGTAAAGATGGTCTGTTTCTGACTATCAATACTCAGTAATTTCTCCCTCAGTCGGGATTTTTCTGCTTCGAGAGCTCGTCTCTTTTTTGTTGTCGACATTTTTCACTGCCACTTTTTGCTGGTTCGCATGTGATGCGCACTACAGAGCCGTGATTGTGAGGTGGATTACATCAGCCTCAGGGTCGAACAGATGACTTCCTCACCATCAGCTACATCAAATAACAGCATATTATTAAAGGTAGCTACCCTCAAACTTTCCACGTAAATTTTTGTAACAAACTCACTATAACTCACTACACTTTAACTTAACGTTAGCTTTCAAAATAAAACTGTAACAAGTGCCGCAGAGCGACAGCGCTCATCTAACCTCTACTGCGGTGACTCTGTGGTGGAGTGGTGGGATTCTAGTAAACCCTGTTAGTCCCAAATGTGTTCACATACACGCCGAAACAGTGGAATGCACAGGGATGGTATCAGGAACCTTCTCAAAAGAATGTTCGTTGGGATCGTTATGAAAGTTGCCACAAGATGGCGCGTACGTTTAAGTGTCTTCAGATTAAAGATGGAAGCTCCCATCAT